TCTCCACTGCTTTCACCAGGAAGTCTGTGGTTCCCACAAGCTGGAGATTCTTGTTCAGTTATTCAGGACCATAAGTCTCTCGAGTTTGATCTTGGCTGGCAGTTTGAGAGTAGGAGAAATGAAAAGGGGAGTATACACAGTCATGTGGCTGACTGCAATGGGACCTTAACTGAGGGTCACACTTACAAACTTTAAACCAGAACCTCTGCCTGCTTCCTTCCATGCGAACTCCAAGTCATCTGCATTTCTTTAGATAGCCTCCTGTGCTCTGCAGCACCATCTACCCCTTCTACATCTACTTTACCCTTTCCAGATTTTCTTGAACTTTCTCATCTACCATTGTCTCATCATTTCTTAATGCTGCTTTTTTGGGAATACAATGAAGGACAAAAGTTCCTTTAGTCAAACTCAGATTATCCCACCCCAAAGTCTGCTTTCTGGCCCTCTCCCCTAGGACACATGAGGACCACCAGGACAGCCTGAGCTCCTTGCCTCCCTCTAATTTGTCTCTCTAGTACAGTAAGTCCCAGACTACCCTTGCCTCAGAATTCCCTGGAGGGCATTTTAGACACAAATTGCCAACCATTCCCTCAGGGCTCGGAAATCCATTTCTCACCCATTCCCAGGAGTATGGTCTGTCTGTTGCTGCATAGCCCGGAGGATCCAGCTGGGTGCCTCTGGGCAAGGACTTGTTCTGAGGCAAGTCGCTTAAGTTCTCTGAGTTTCTGAGGGAGGAGATACCAGCTGTTTCTGATCCACAAGGTACTTGGGGAGAAAGAACTAGCTGAAAATAGTTTTCAAATGTAGAGCAATATTTTGGAGCTCAAATAAACACATTAGATCAGTGGTTTGCAACCTTGGCCGCACATGAGAATTACCTGGAGAGCTAGAAAAAGTCTTAATTCCCAGGCTGTACCCCAAAACCATTATATAATAATTATCCAGCCATCCAATTTCTCTTCCTCCATCTCTCTCTCTTTCATTGTATACATATGCATATGTATACATTTTTAATTTTAGAATACCTCAGATTAAGCAGAGAATCTATAATTAAATCCTAATCTTGTAGAAAATTCTTATGCAAAATACTCTAATCTCTCAAGTACATCTAATCACTTCCAGAATAAGGACCCCCTACAATTTCTACTGTAAAAATAAACTCTATCCAGGAGCTTAATTTAAAATAAGAACTTCATTTTCCACGTACTTACCTACAAAATAAACACCATATTCTGTTCAGCAAGAGATACTTAAGAAGAAAAAACCCGAGATCCAATATTAAGTAAGCATACCCACTTTTCTCCAACTGATATGTCAGTAATACATTATAGCAGAAACAGTCTCCCGTACAACTGGAGTGGAGTGTTGGGTTGAACAGTCAGTCCCTGTGATAGTCTCCAGTGAGGGCTGCTCTTGCCAACCCTTTTTTCTAGGAGCAACGGATTAGCAAAATCTTGCCTTATCAGACCCAGCCTCCTTAGTCCTCCAGTATAGATACGTTTTTAAGGCAGACTCTTGAAATATTTAAAAGAAATTTCACCTTAGTTTTTAGCACACGGCACACACAGGCTGTTTGGAGATACCATTCCACAGAGGTTGCTGCTATGAAGTAGGTGTTCATGGGGTGGGCACAGGGGGTCGTTAGACTTGGACAACACGTGGGAAGAAAAGGGTTTCTTCTCTCGGTGGCAAATTCCAAACAGAGATGCTGGTGATGCCAACATAGGCCTAACTATTCTGCTAGTGGAGACATATTTTATTTTGAAATCCTTACGGTGCCTGGTGCGTAACGGCAA